AAATAGGTACCCAAAATGGGGCCCTTGTAAATGGGAAAATGGACCAAAACCTGCGGTCCCCTGGTGGTTTGATTTTGACCCATACCCATTACACGTGGAAAGCCGGCCAGTTCTGCTTTGCGGCCGTCGACGTCAATCTGAAGATGTGACGGCCCATTGATTGGATTGCTCCGAGCCCTTTACTCGATGGGGTTCTCAGGAAAATCATAGGGGTGGGAATGAGCCGTGGATTCTGCAGGACACGACCAGTTGGATGGTTCAGTTCGGTTTCTTCATTTGCCCTTGTGCCAGGGTCGCGGGAACCCTGAGAAAGAGTTTGGTTTGCTTTGGTGTCCGAAGCGAGAGAGCCATCCGGCTATGCATTTGAAGAGGTGAAACCACCTCAAAAATGGTTGGCGGTTTCCTGACTCCCCTCCAAATGTTGATTTGATTTCCACAGTTTGGGTCCGGCACCCACTAAAATTCACACCCGTGGTGCCTGAAAAGGGAGGATTCCACGCAAAACGTGGGCACCCCCATGAATCAAGCGGATTACAAAGTCCTTGGGTTTCCATTGTAGGGGGCTCCTTCCAACTTTGCATTCTGAGACTGATTAAATATTGGTGTGTCTTTACATAGGACATAAGGGGACCGCCGAAACGGTGGTTTTCCTCTGGTTTCCCTTAAAACCAATATGATAAAGGTCCCTCAAAAAGTCACGCCCATTGTGGACCATAATTTGAATCAAGTACATTTAGTGTACGCCTGAACATGAAGCAAAATTACTCCGCAAGCCCTGGAGATTGTGAAGACCCGGCTTAAACACCACGGAACGCCTGTCCAAGGCAATTGCAACTGCGTAGCGGTTCGTCAAGGTTTGTGTCTAAACAGAAAAGCATGAAGCCTCAAAGGGGGTCATGAAAGCAACCCCAACGCAAACTTGACCATTCGGCACAGGCAAACCGGAGGAAGCTTGACGCTCAACCCGCGCATGGATCAATGGCCACGCAAAATGCCAACAGACGAGCCATGGCATACCATGCTTTTCACCCAAGACGAAGACTCCAAAACAAGGACGGGCTGTCAGATCAGGGCCCACCCTGTAAAGCCCGGCCCTGGATGCAATGAAGCAGAAAAAGCTTACGCATGTAAGCCAAGCGCATTTGTGGGGCCGGCGAAGCCAACAGCAAACCCAAAAAGGTCCCTGCCTAGGTCCCCCAGTAGTGCCCTTTGACTTTCCTAAAATAGACTACAGAAAAAAGAAACGGTACCCTTATTCTAACCTCTCAAATCTGGAGGACCTAGATGCTGATAACTGGCCCTTTTCGGGTCAGAGAAAAGCGCAGAAGGACACCGAAACGGGGCCCCTTTGAGGGGCCCGGCTCATCCCTAATGGCTTCAATCGTTTCAAGCTGGAGCATGCTTTCCTGCGGCAAGAGTGATCAACCAAAACCGGGGGTACACGTATCCTTTACTTTGATGCATCTTGCTTGGATGTTAGGACTGAACAACTTTTTGCCCACAAATTTGGGTTTTCCGTATTAAGACACCAAAAGTGAAACTTCTTTTTGCAGGGCTTCGCAGATTTTGCCACCGAGTTTCGAGATGCCATGTGGATTTCCTGTGTCCCGGTAGCTTCGCTGAGTGGGTTGACTGACTCATGGCTGATGGGCGCGCGCTGCTCCTGTGACCCCTGCGAAGAAGAGCTTGGCCCCCTGGACCTCTTGGCGCCTCGGAGAGGGGCCCACCCGAGCGCTGGGATGGATCGCGTGGACGGGACCCAGCTGGATGTCTCCGAATCGGAGCCTGAAAGAACATGGGTCAATGACCCCAGTATTTTGGAGAATGACCCCAGGATTTTGGAGAATGACCCCCTTTGTTTTAAGGGTCATGGAGACTTCAGGTACGAAGCTTAAGCGGATGTACCAAATATGGCAAGCCCAGAAAGTCCCTATGGGTTTTGGGCTTGGTTCCTTCAGATTCGTCAATTACGGATTCCTCAAATCGGCAAATGTATGGAACCAGGGGACCCGCTGGGAAGGGACAAGGACCTAAGGAAAGCCTCATAGGATCGTGGTGTGCGATTGCTACACTTGCATTGAGTTGGTGTCATAGAAAACACAACTTGAGCTGCAGAAAAAAGTGGCCCTGCCTTACGCGACCCAAGCAGCGACTAACCAATTAGACTCTTGACTCTTGACCATTTTGTTCGTTCGATTCACTGCCCGAATGGAGTACTTGTCCCTTTGCAGGTCAACGGTTCGGTGTCGAAGTCCCAACCCAGTCCGGAAATGAGGCTGAAACGGCAGGAGATGTCCGACACGGGTCCCTTGGGTTTGATTTTGGTCTCCCAAATCGCTCTGGGAAGAGAAATTCACCGTCTAAGAGGCGGGTGTTTAGCTTTCCAGCTTTTCGGATTCCTTGGCTCCCTTGCTTCCAATTGCTTGAGAATATTTGTTCCTGTTCGTTTTAAAGGGAATCTACCACTGCTAAGTATATATATATATATATATATGGTACCCCCACCATCCCCAAAAGGCAGTAAAACCAGGGTCCATGGGGGGGGGGTGCATATATATATATATATATACATATATATATATACATATATATATATATACATATATATATATATATGTTCCAGGCCGTGAACCCCCCCCCCTCCCCTCCCCAACCCCCCCCCCCCCCCCGGGGTGGTTGGGTGGTTTCGGGTGGGTTTCGGGTGGGTTTGGGGTTTGGGTTGATTTAGGCTTAGGGTTGGGGTTAAGGAGGGGTTGCAGGTTTAGGGTAGGATGTTGCGAGAGGCGCTGGGGTGTTGGTTCACGGGATGAAAGGGGGAGTCTGGGACCGAAGCTGCAGGGCGACTGGACAGCATCCCCATCATTGCCAGCATCAGGGGGCGTACGTGGCCCAGGGACTGGTATATATATATATATATTCCCCCGGGGTACCTTATCCCCTAAATAGATCTATTCCACACGATGGTCCAATATGTCAATAGTGGATGGAGTGTCTGCGGAAGTCCTTGGTAGGATTGTCTTGTTGGTATATCCTGTAAAGCGGTCCGCAAGTAATCCCTTTTCTTGGCCTGTACGTGTATGGTTCTGTAAAGCGACACTAAAAGGGCCTTGGAACGGTTGCATGGAGATCAATATACAAATGAAACACAGGGGGGGGGGGGGTTGCGGGGGGGTGGGGGGGGGGAAATGTTTGCGTCTACCAACCCAGAGGGGTTTGACTGGGGGTTTGCGTGGGGGTTTGACATGCGCACAGACTTACAACTTTGTGCACACAGGTGAAGACCCTCGCTCCGCCCTAATTTCCTCGTAAGTGCGTGCTGAAAGCCTTGGGAAAGCTTCCCGCCAACGTGTAAGCCTTACACTGTAAGTTCCGAGGCCCTTAGCCAGCAGGACTGCCGCTTTTGTAGCAGAGATGAATGGGTGGCTATGCCTTGTCCGCTCCGAGTTCCAGCAACGAAAGACTGTGCGAGAAGTGTGCTTGAAGCAGGAGCAGCTTGCTTTCGCGCTTGGGTCCTGCCTTCATTGTCCTTCAAATTCCAGTGTGTGTGTGTGTGTTCAACGCAATATATTGAAACCCTGTGATATACTGGACAATCACGAACCTAATTTGCAGCCCCACAAGCGACTGTTGGCCCAATTCCCCACGCCTGCTTCCCAGGAGAAAGTTGGAGTCACAGGTTGCGTTTGCGTTTCGCCCAGGGTCGTTAACGCGGACGGTACCTTGTTTGAATGGGGGGGAATGGGGGAGGGGGGGTTGTTGTTCGAATGGCGCGGGGGGGTTGTTTTTTGAATGAGGGGAGGGGGAGGGATTTGTTTGGGGGAGGAAACGTCGCGTGAGGGCAAGCTGCGTGCTGGGCCTTCCCTGAGTTTGTTTGCGGCGATGTGCCGGATTGGATTGGCCAGCTTGGCGAAGAACTTGGCGTTCAATCTCGGCAGGCAGCGCTGGATGTCTTTCTGCATTCTGTCTTGCAGGCCGTGCTTAGTCAGAAGGGCGGCTTTGCTCTTGCGCCCGGGGCAGTCGAGTGGCTGAAGAAAGGTCTAGCGGCTCCGGATGTATCTTTCCAGGCTTGTCTGTCGTCGACGCCTAGCTTCGATGCCAGCAACGGGGGGCGTGGACTTTTTCTGGTGGACATGTTCAACGCTTTGAGGCGAAAGGTTGGAGCCGCGATTGCTTGGAGGAATTGGTTTCATGCGTTTCTTTTCCTCGGTGCAGTTTTAGTGTACATTGGTAGCACGGGATACCACGCGATTCATATCTACGGTATTGGTGTCTCAGCAATGCTGCTTCAGAGAAGTCTTTGCTGGAGATGCTGCAGGCTTTGTGCGCAGCGGGGAGGTCGATACGCGGGCCCGGGTTTGGCGTTTAGTTGTCGCGCACGCGAAGGCGTACAGGACGGCGCGGCATGGGTTCAATCGTCACGATGGAAGCCGCATGGCGTGGCCTCAGGCAGCGGAGTGTCCTCGAGTCGCTTATGACTGCCGCTACTACGATGCCACGCTTCCTGCTCCCGCCATGCGGCCAGATCGTGGTAGCACGCCACATGATTGGGCTTGAATGAAAGCCTTCCACACGCGCGGGCTCGCAAAGACCTTCCGACCTTCCTCAGAAGGCATTTCTCTGCTCCTGCTTTGGCAAGGTGTTGCCGCAACACAGCGCGTCCTGGCAGTGGTGGAGCCGTCTCCCACGCCTTCTCTGGATGCACGTTCTTCCTGCCAGAGTCCCACTGCAGGAGCTAGACTGCCTGCTTGACCCTTCTAGCACACACATTCGCCCGAGGTGAGCAAGGCAACCATCAGTGCTTCAAGGGTAAACGGAGAAGCGCAGGAACATTTTTTTGCGTGGATGGGGTGGATGGCGCTGTCGCTACTCCCTTGACACCAGCCATTGCGTCTTCTTCCTGCTATTGGCTCTGCTGCCAAATTGCTGGCGCGAATCAATGGGCACCTATTGGACGCGCTTGCGCCCGACATCCCTTGCCTGGGACTGCTGCTGCCGCGCGGATGCTGGGCGGCTCCACTGTTTTAGTTAGCTTGTCAGCCTTGCTTTTTCGTAGCAGGAGCTTTCTGACGAAACGTCCTTTGATTAAGTTGTGTTTGGGCCCCAATTTTCGATTCTACTCGTCAGTCAGACCTCACTAGGCGCCAGGCTCAGGCCTGAATTTCGGTCCTGACAGTCATGTGGGGCGAAAGGGTTGGGACGAGCGAGGCCGAGCGGCGGCGTGGTGCGAGCAAGAGGTGTCTTGCTGAGGTATACCGCCCGCCACCGCTAAAAAGAAGGGTTGGGCACGAGGATGGCGGGGACAATGTTTGCACCGACCACCCCCTGGCCAAATCACGGCTAGGAGGTGCGTCCTGCCTATCTGTTACTTATAGATGAAGTGCAAACCCCCCCCCCCCACGCCCGCCGCCTTAACTCCCACTGGCGCGCGTCAAGACAACAATACCCTCCCCCTATTTGAGCAATAATAATTCCCCCCCGCGCTGAAGAATGTAAGTAGTTTCCAGCTTGGTGGGTTCAAAGAGAATCTATCACGTCTGGGCGTATTTGTTTTTTGAGGCAACTTAAGCAAATGCAGGTGTGCTTTCAGCCGAGGACCAAGAGCCGGTTGTGACGGGCGCGCCACAGGCGAGGGAGACTTGCCGAGGGGCAAAATTTGTGATCCGGTTCATGAACTCGGTGTCGTCTGGTCAGGTAAGTTGTCAGCAAACCTGGCTATAACCGTAGCCATGGCGTTTGCGGGACATACCCGTGCTTATTGCCCACTTACTAAGTACAATGGCCCTTTAAGCATGGACCCTTCTGGGGAGGGCTCTACCCCTGTTAGGGACACCCCAAGGACTTTTGAAGGCCCGTGACTTTCCAAACATCGCTGCAAGCTGAGATGTCCGAACTTGGTAATACCGTGGATGGACGAAATCCGTTCGCACCACTTTTATGGTTTTTTGGGTGGATCTACATACAGTATCAACACCCCTTCAAGCAAAGTCACCTGGCTGTGGGTGCAGCAACCAAGCTCCATCCGGAGAAAAAGCTTCAAACTGTTTTTGGCAGGCATCAAAGTCAAGAACGTGGCTGGTCTCCCTTTACCCCACCAGTGGCCACGGATCCAACCGGCAGTGTGGTTTTTAGCATGGACCCCAGCAATTTATGGTTTCCCTTTTGGTTTTCCTTTGAAACCCCGCCAGCAAATTCGTGTACCAACTCGAAACAAGAACAGGACAGAGCCCCAGTTCCCTTTTGGTTTCCCCGTTAAAGCCACCCAACCAACGGGTCTTCCTTTTTAAAGCCACCCAACCAACAGGTACCAACTCCAAGAGTATGGAAAACCCGCCCAACAACAGGTCCCAACTCCAAATCCAGAGCAAAAACAACCAAAACAAATCGTGCACCAACTCCAAGAACCGGGGACCCACCTACAAAAAAACACAGTGGTGTACCAAACAGCGACCGCCGGCGCCGCCGCACCCCTCTCTTTCCCGAGCGCGAGGCGGGGCTCTGCCTCAGTGGGGGCGGCCTTGCGGCCGCCTGCGCGGCAATCGGGGCCTTGAGGGCGCTCCGCGGCTCGTCGCTGGATCTGCTCAGCACCGTGGCGGGCAGCGCCTGGGCCTCCGCCGCCTACGTGCGCCGCGGCAAGAAGTTTGGACGGGCCGGGAATTGGTCCAGCCAGGGGCGAAATTTCACCCTTCCTTTTTTTTTGGGGGGTGCCCGTATTAAAAGAGACTACGGAAAAAGGAAAAAAAACATCGGGTGCCCTTTTTGTAACCTTTTTACTGGAGGACCTAGGGCAGGTCCTTTACTGGATGTGTTTTTCATTGTGCTGTAAAGTCATGTCAGGTGTTTTCCAATGTTGAAGGTGGATGTAGGGGGGGGGAATGACCCCTTTCCAGACATGTTGCCAAAAAGTGGCTTTAGCTGCCTGACCTTGGGTTAGGTAAGGATTTGGTCCCCTTTGTAGTTATGGATTGGGGTTGCCCAACCATTTTGAGTAGCCCAGGTCGTGTGTAGACAATTCTAGAATGTATGTTTTGACAATATGATTCGATAGCTGTCTTATTGGGGATTGTGGGCGATGGGCAGCTCAGGGGTCCTTACATGCTCACTTGGCTAGTCAACACAGCACTGGTATGCAATGGTGGGCAAAAGACACCCGTACTTTGCGCAAGTA